GATGCTGCACAGCCCGGTCTCCATGGTAACCGATGCTGCACAGCCTCCTGCTCTAGAGGAGTTTCTGTTCAGAGTTTTCTACTGAAACCGGCTAACAGCAGCGTCTCTCTTTCTCCAGGTCCGTTCCTGAACATATTCTCTCAGAAGCAGAAGAACGTTGGAGAACCTTCGGGGGTTCCTCACCATCACCACAGAGGAGGAACCTTTAGAGGTCAGAATATCTCCTCGAGGAACCAATGAACTACTCAGAAAGGTTCTTCAGCAACCTAGTTTGAGTTCATTATTACTGCTGTTATAAAAACAATACTGGATTTATTACTGAATAAATCAAGATTTTATTCTTTTTTTTTTTTAGATTTAGCCCATTAAGGATCTTGGTATTGGTGCTGAAAGTCAGATAAGATTCCAGAACCAGAACCAGTGTGTAAAGCTTACATTTAGTCGGTAACATCTCCAACATGGTTCAACAGGTTTACACAATTTGATGCCACAAAAAATAAAAATTTGTGTGTCGTACAAAATAAAACGAGCTTTTATATGAAGTTTATATTTAGATTAAATCTGAACGTACACAGTCACCGTGACACTATACAAATAAAATAAAAGCATGTAAACGCTGGTGTAAAGTGTGTGTAGTCGTGTGTAGTTGTATCTGTCCGTACAGGAAGCTGGACTTTGGCTGCAGAACCTCCTAAAGCGACTGCAGACGAAGCAGGAGTTTGTTTCTCACCTCGTCGCTGTTCCAGCGGTTGGACACTGTGGGCCGTAAGCCTTTAACACAGACCACCTCCAGCATGTCTTCATAGGAGGGATCAGAGGGAACCATCTCGTAGTAGGGCAGCTGGTAGTCCTCCACCATGCCTGGACCCACAGACACAGATTCATTACTCTGCTGCATGTGTTCAGTAAAGAAACAACAACAGTTCCTAATGATCGAGTTAATTAATCCTCTAAAACCAGCAGCAGGGTGATAAACATAAAACACTTCAATAACTTTCATCGTCCTTTATTTCAAACTAAAAGCTTTCTGGAAAGACTCAGTTTGTAAAGTTTATTCAAGACGACACGAGAAAAACCGTAAAGCTGCAAATAAACGTCAACTTTTTTTAACGAATCGATTAAAAACTCAGCCATAAATAAAAAACAGGATTAAAAAAGACAGAACCTGAACCTAAACCCTAACACCCAGACGTGACTCTAGGTTCTGGTACCTCCGGTGACGCAGCGCCGGGCCATCTCCCAGATGACCAGGCCGTAGCTGTACATGTCGGCCATGATGTAGGCCTGGAAGTGGTTCTTGTTGAGGCTCTCGTCCAGGACCTCGGGGGCCATGTAGCGCCTGGTTCCCACCCGGGTGCTCAGAGGGACGTCCACCTCGTTAGTGTCGCTACGGAAACACAAACGAGGAGGTTTCAGCTACAGCATGTAATAAATAATAAACACGTCTTAATGAGAGCGTCTGGTGCTATTAAAGCTACTGAACAGCGTCATGAAGCGTTTATAATCGGCTTATAAATCATAAACAATTCAATTTAAAGTCTGAAATAAACAATAGAAATAATAAATAATATTTTACAGAATATTTTCTTGGAAACACTCAACCAGAGACGACACAGAAGTGAGATAATTTAAGACTAATTACTTCTAAAATGAAGAATTAAACATCACTTTGTGTCCGACTCTAAATTTTCTATCTTATGTTTAATATAAAATTAGTTTTTTTGCTTCACAAACACAAAATAAATCATCAAAAAGACAAATACCAGAGCTCTTACATCTGTTTGTTCTCCTGCTGATAAAAAAAATAAACTTTGTTTTATATAAAAATGACAAAAAGTTAGAAACCCACTGAAGTCACTGGTTTATCATCCATCCTGCAGACACCATCCACTGTCTCTGATTGTAGCTTAGTTCATATGACACTTTTCTTTTTTTGTAAATAAACTCTGGTTTAAGTTATCCTGAGCCTGGATTTATTTAAATCTTCTATCTTATCTATTTTTTGTTTAAATGCTTTTACACTAAACATTTAATAAGAAATAAGCTGATGCTCCGGGTGAAGAACTCTGAGTTGCCTTTGAACAAACTGAACCTGAAACATGCAGTTAAACAGGAAATAAACATTAAAACTAGAACTTCATCGTCGCTGCTATGGTCAGCTGCGTTCTCTGAGGTTAACAGCTTAAATCTACACCTCTGACCCAGACAACCATCCAGTTCAACAGACTAGAGCCAGATGGCGTGACAGAAGGAGGGACCTGTTGAACTTGACGGCGAGGCCCAGGTCGGCGATGCAGCAGGTGCCGTTCTTCTTGATCAGGATGTTCTTGCTCTTCAGGTCGCGGTGGGCGATGGCCGGCTTGCCCTGCGTGCCGTAGATCTCGGTGTGCAGGTGGCAGAGGCCGCAGGCCGCCGAGTAGGCCAGTCGCAGCAGCGCCGGCGTGTCCAGCGTGGTGAGCTTCAGGTAGTCGTACAGGGAGCCGCTCTCGTGGTAGTCGGTGATGAGGAAGAGCTGCGTGAAGGCCCCGGTGCCTTTAATGTC